ACATACATATACACTGATATGCACACACTCATCCCCCCTCCCTTTCCAAATGCCTTTGACGCTTATTCCCTTCCGATGCTGACGGTGGATCATGGAGACCAGCGCACGCAGGCTCGGATGTACTGTCTAAATCGGCTGTCTCTCACCCTTTACCCATCCCTGTTGCTTGTCATGTGTTTCTTTGGTGTATTAAGAGGTTTTTCATGTGCAGAGGTGTTTTTTTCTGTTCTCAAACTGATCTCCCTGTTGGAGTTATTTTTTCTCCTTATCTTTCCTCATGTGGTGCATTTTCCATTGTTATACCTCTCTGACCTGTCTTCCCCATGTGATGTTTGTGTAATGTATGTATGGTCGGAGGGTAAGATGGCGCCGCCATTGCGTCCAATAGGTCGGCAGCCTTATGAAATTTCCCCTTGTGGGACTAATAAAGGTATATCAAATCAAATCAAAGTCAAATAATGTTGCTAACTGTTAGTAGGTAAGCAGAGGCACAATGGTGATGCATGGTAACATCTCTGCAGCTAGTTTACTTGTTTACTGTTACATGTTACATTTACCATGTTTAATTACTTCAAAATGATGAAGGAATTAGAGCTGTCAACAAGTATTTTAAATTGCATAACAGTATTAAAAAACAAACGAGAAAAAGTGTAAAATTAAAACAAAAAATCATCCATGAATCATCTTTAGGGGTATTCAAAGGGAGATCATGACTGAGCTGACTGAGCAGAGTATTCCAGACATCCTTCTCCCCAGAAACTGGGTTCTGCTCCTAAGTGCCTGGAGAACCTCTAAGGAGAAATCCAGGAGGCATCCTAAACCAGAGGTCAGAACCACCTCAACTGTCTCCTTTCATCACAAAGGAGCAGGAGCACTACTCTGATGAGCACTCAGCTTGGATATCAGAGTTACTCTCTCTACCGCAAATGCTGAGCACAGCCACCATACAAAATAAACTCATTTTACCCACTTCTGTTCATGACTAGGGATGGGTATCGTTTAGGTTTTATCCGATACTGGTGCCAAATCGGTACTTTTGAAACGGTGCTCAAACCGGTGCTTAAAGAATGGAGAACACAAAATTGGTCCAAAAACCTCTCATGTTCAGCTGTTTTTTGTAAAAAGATAACAATGTTAGCCTTTTCTGCAGCTATGGGGCATATATGGTATCACTCTTGGCTGGAAGCAGTGCTTAAACAATGGAAAAAACACAAACTTTGTCCAAAAACCTCTCATGTTTAGCTGTTTTCCACTTTTTCTTTGGTCATTTTAGCCTTTTTGGCCAGGGTGAAGGGAGTATCTGCCATCAAACAAGAAGACAGCCGCATGTAGCTATGATGATGTTTGCTAGTTCACCTTACATGCATTAATGTAATAACGTGGTTAGCCTACTCAACGTAAATTACACACGAACAACATTTAGCTACTCACGCAGAGAAGAACGGCTGCTGCTGCATCATCATCCTCATCATTTCTGCTACACTGGCAGGGCTAGGGGCCAGGACTCTCCTCTTGGTGTTTTTGGGGGATGTTGCATAACAGGCAACCCACCCGCAGTAGATGCGCTCGGTGTGAGGTCTCACAGCAAGCTATCAAATACGGCGCATTTCTGGGCTTTTAAAAAAAAACGCTATGCGTCGCCAGGTGTTTCATTGGATTTGAGGTGTTACCTCCTTTGACAGTATCACAGTATCAGCTTAAAGCACTTGTTGCTGCTGAGTTTCCATCTTTTGCTGTGAAGTACAGCCAGACTTTTGACCGCTTCGCCTTGGACATTTTTAATCTGTAGCTCTGCTCTAAAAGAACGTACGTACCTGGCCCCGCCTACTATCCTCGGAAACGTAAAGTGATTGGCTAGAAGTGTATCACAGCTCAGGAAAAAAAGCACCGAAATAAAGCACCGAAATGTGCGCTGCTTTTCGGTCTGGTTACTACCGTTTATGTCAGAACCGGTGCCATCATGGTACCGGACACCGGTACCCATCCCTATTCATGACCCTACATAGTCTCTTTTGATCATTTCCCAGATCTGACCAAGGGTGAGGGTTGGAAAGTAGAATAATTTCTTGTAAAAAAAAAAAGTTGCATAACCAAATGGCACAACATGTGTGTGCATCTTTGTCATTAATACAATCCTTTAGAGAGGTTCCAAGTTACATATGGTTTATTCTTGTTGCCTGAGTTATGTTAAATTGTGAGAAAACTGACAGTAGGTTTATCTATTTCATCTAAGGCATATAGGTACGACCTAATTGAAAAAACAGCCTACAACTCATGAGGCTTATTACTGATCAAGCAAAAGCTGGATAAAACTGAATTAAAGAGAAAATACATTAAAACATGCTAATACAGTAGAGCTGCATTCTGTTTTTTAATAGTTACACACTGAACCTCTGTATAAATGCCTTTAATAAGTGTCCACTTCACTCAGTCATTGCATTAGCTAACAAAACTCCCAGCTAACAAAACTCACCTTCCTTTTGGCTGCCTGCAGCTGACACATTCTGCTGGGATAGCATGGTCTGGTTGTAGAGGCTAGGGAGGGTGGCGGCGGCGTACTGTTGAATGCCAGAGTAGGCCTGGCTCAGTGCCTCCATTGTATTTCCTGAGCCATTAGAAAGACTTCCAGAGCCAAGACTGCCATTAAGTGCTGCCATGCCTGCATCAGTTACAAGAAGAAAAAAAGCTGTATGTTCACAGTGGTACAAACTTCAGTAGACTAAGAATCAGAAAAGAGGCCAAAAGGCTGTCACTGTTCAAGATTCAAGAAAACTTTATTTGTCACATGCAAGTTGCCCTGCAGTGAAATGGGACCGACCCCCTCCCCCCGACCTTACATGCACAACACAGACATCACATGGGGAGACAGGTAGGGGACCGGTAGTATTACGGAAAAACACTGAAATACAAAACAATGGGAAAGTCCAAGAGGGAAAAAGGAGACCTCTACTCATGCTGAGCTCCTGGGAGGACAGCATGAGAACAGGAAACAAAAAAACTCCTCTGCACAGAAAGCACATAAATGTCCACAGCACAACATTATAGAGCACGTGACCAGTAACAGGGGTGGGTGGGGGGTGAGGAGTAATCCCAAGCAAACACAGCAGCCATCCTGCCCTGCAGCTATTTTTCCAGCGCTGGGCCCAAACCCGCCGTGTTCTCTAGGAGGGAACAAGCGTCGAAGGCGTTTGGAAAGGGAGGGGGGATGAGTGTGTATCAGTGTATGTGTGTGTCCAGAGTTCAGCTGAGACAGTGTCCTTAGTGTCCTTTACTGTCCAAGTAAACAGTCTTCCAGCCAACCCAGGTGGCCTTGCAGAATGGGAAGAAACAGTCTAAGCACAGTCTGTTATCAGGGTGTTATTGTTCAGCTCCAGCCTTGAGACCACAGCTGGCGCCAAAGGGGTATCCGCATGAAGTGATGGTGGTTTATACTTTAGTGCGAACAACTTATATGAATTTCAAAGCTGTTCTACAGTCCGACACTGGTCTCTCAATCTCCCGGTGGAGAGCCGCGAGCTTCTCCATGATGTTATCAACCTTACGCTCCGTGATGTTGTCATTCTTGTGCTCAAAGAGCCGATTCTGAGAACTCACAACTGCAGTGAGCTTCTCCAAGATGTACTCCAATTTGCGCTCAGAGGTCTTATTCTGAGTGTTCACGACAGCCGCAAGCTTCTCCAAGATCTTAACTGTGCTGCACTCAATGAGCCCATTTTGAGAACTCACGCCTCGTCCCGTCGTTTCAATCCCAGCGGGCAGCCTTGGGGGGGTTTGAACAGCCGGTTCCGCTTTCTTAATTCTCAGATAAGCCAGGGCCAACCCAGCTCCGATCAGCCAGAACCCTGTTATCATGGTTCCGAATAGGTAGATATCTTCAGCATCCTTGATCGACAGTCCCGCCAGGCACACGACCCTCCATTCCTGCCACCCATCCATCGTGTATCCGGCAGGGAAAGTACCTCCAGGACACTCAGGCTCACCGAGTTCAGACTTCTCGTTGAGAAAAGGGTGTCAATAGCATTCAGAGACCAGTTGATCAAATCCATAATTCCTCTTTTAGGTTTTAGACACAGACTGTGAGAGAGTGTTCCAGGGAAAAGTAAGTTTTTCCCCCTTTTGGTTTTACAATTGTAATTAATGAGTCAGCCTGAAAAGTAAAAAACAAAACAAAACAACAACAAAACAACCCCCCCCCCCCCCCCCAAATAAAATTATTTATGCAACAGATTTCATGGATTAAGTTGCTCAAGTTAGCAGGAACCACCGAAGGAACCACTGAGCCAACGCACTTGGAACTTATTTACAGTTAGTCCTTCAAGTACAATCCAATCCAACAGGTAGTGATTATTATAAAACAGTTACAAGCCAGATTACAGCCAGAATTAACGTATGACAACAAAAAGCACAGACAAGCAAATCCTGAAAATGAAGATTTATATCAGACGTACTGCCTCAAATTAATCTATATTTCAGCCTATGCAGATAAGAGTTTTTACCTGCCAAGGAACCTATGTTGAGGCCAGCTCCAGCACTAGCAGCCAGAGACTGCAGGGCCCCTAAAGAAGCCATGGGGTTCGCCGAGGAGTTGCTACTGGAGGTGGGGGAGGAGCCTGCTTGGGAAACATTTACTTTTAATGATATAATAATAGGGGAAATGAACAATTTACCTTGCATCATTAAAAGTACTATAAGAATGGAAAACATCAAAATTAAAAGTAATTTCACAAGTCTAATCACAAGGAAGATTTGACAAAGCCAGGATTTATGTTTTAAGGGTTTTATTAGTTTAGTTTTTATTAGTCTTACAAGTAATTCAAATGATTTCATTACTACAGTCTGCTATATATTTACCTATGAATCACATCTAGTCAGCTCTGGTTCATGTTATGGTAGATTTAATATCATCATGTGTGTAAACAATACATGTTTCCAGGCAGCCAGGCATTTTACAATAATTTCAATTGGGTCAAAATTACACCCTTGAAGGAAATAAATTGTTACAATGCGTTTTTCTTTTTATTCCCTACACCCAAAAAGTGTATCATGACCCAATTCTATTTTTGGAAAAGTCATGAAATTACGTGGAGTTTTACTTCGACAGCTACATTTTAAAATGCAAAGGGGTCCAAATAAGCCCTTTGCCAAGTCTAGCGTTAAACAAAAGCACTTGCTATAATAAGGTTTGGTTTTTTTGGGGGGGTTCAAGTCTTGCTTTTTTGGTTTTGGTTTTTGTTACATGACAAAGTGTTTCATATACAGTATACGTGTTGGCTGCTTTTCAAGCATATGAAAAAAAAAAGGCATTGGCCCAAATCATCACGATTGTAATAAAATATTTTTAATCAGGTTTTTTTTTTTTTTTTAACTTAAGTTTGCACACGCCTTTCTTGAATTTTATTGCTCAAAAGCCCAAACATAATCTTATCAAATCTAAGGAGCTTGGAAAGAAAAAAGCATCTTTCCAAGCTCCTTAAACTATGATGACCTGGATGACTGAGAACCTTCACAGATATGATCTTATCAAATTTTACTGGGTTTAGGTGAAGGTCGTTGGCTCCAGTTCTCTAATACTATGCAATACTATACTATACAATGCACCAATACTATACTTCTTGAGGATGAAGTTGTATTTGGACTAATGGACTATTGTTTCTCCTTACCTAATTGAGCAGTTCTTGCATTAGGCCAGTAGTGGAACAGAAATGAATTTGCTGTAAAGCAAATGGGTTTAATATACAGTTTAAATCCTGGTGTTCAGTATTTTACATTATATTAGAGATTACCTGACATTTAATTTCAGGTCCAAGAGCATATAAAGTTTTAAATTCTGTGAAAGTATGTATTTATAGCCATTCTGTGATGGATCCACAGTATTGTTTTATCCGGTTAGCCAATATTCTTTCACCTGTGTCCACTAAGTTTTACAGGGCACAACCTACATACTCAACCTCTGCTGCTCAACCCAAAAATACATTTTTCTTACAAAGGTGGCACCATAAATAGGCTTTCCAGTGATATACGATTCATTTGCAACATTCATTGTCACAACAAAGAAATCAACCAAACTTAAATTTCCTTAGTTTTGTAGTACAGACTCTGTGTTTTGGTTTTTACCTGAGCTTGTTAACGCACTTAGTGGGCTAGTAGATGTCGTCATGGCGCTAGAACCCGTAGGTGTGGCCTGTGTAGCAGTTGCTGCTGCTGCTAAAGCAGCGAGGTTCTGCATAGCATTAAGACCTGACAGACACATGAATAGGCAAGTTTAAGTTCCCCAACAGAGATCATCAGTTATACAGATATAAGGCTGGACTTAACTTTCTCAATAAACAAAGGGATGAATCTAAACTCAAAATAATTAATGAGATTATTATGTAGCCAGTAATATAGCTTTACATTCTTTGGATGTGTGTATATGTACCTGAAACAGGGTGCAGGTTGTTGAGTGCATTCCCTGTGGAGGCAGACTGCTGCAGCAACTGTAAGTAGAGCTAAAGCAAGAAGAAAAATGGAAGATAACATTTAAATTTGTCAATTTGTTTTCTAATGGTTGTTACATTTTGGATAAATATACACTTACTGCTAAGTACTGTGGGCCTAAACTGTTGAGTCCAGTGAGATTACCCCACATGGAAGCAGCACTAAGTTGCTGCATCTGCTGCTGCAGCTGTTGAGCCATGCGCTTCTGCTCCTTGTCCTTCTGAGTGTCTGCGAATTTCACTACAATTGGCGATGAACAACCCTGAACACAAACACAGGAAAACATTGTGCTCATGACAGGTTACTGGTCAAAACTATTAAACTGCATCTTTCAAATTCCAAGTAACGTAACCAAATAGTTAAAAAAAAATCTAGAATAGAATAGAATAATCCTCTAATTGTCCCACAAGGGGAAATTTGGTTGTAACAGCAGCCAGAAAGACACATATACAAACAAACAGGACAGAAACATACACAATTTTTTCTTACATATTTACATCAAGGACAATGGTTAATCGCTTGCTGTGAATAATCATATACTGGGAAACCTTGAAACTATTTATCCAGTGGAAACAACAGAATGCAGATCTTCTAAAATCAAAATCACAGACAAAATTAGTTTTTTTTTAGTTTAAACTTCACCTCCATGGTCTGGGACTGGTGCATGGATTTGATAGCAGACTGGGCCATTTGTCTGGCTGTGAATGTCACAAACGCACAACCTGCAAGAAAGAAACTAAATGTATCAGTTTTGTTAACCTTTCAGTAAGACCACACTTATTTTTAACAAAATTTTTGATACACTTTTCCAGTTTATTGGTGTAAGAGAACTTGGTTTTGATTAAGATTCATTATTCATATTTAACCTCCTAAGACCCGAACTCTTCCACAGCAGCATTTTTAATTTCTCTTTGATATTTGGGCTGATTGGGGCCCGATGAATGTAAAAACAAAGAATTACCAGATTTTTTTTTTACCTTACTTTTGTTTTTAATAAAAATGAGAGCCACGTATGAGGATATTCATTTAAAATTTCGAAAGAACAGTAGCAGCATAATGTCCTCATAAGTAGAGCAAAATTTAGTATTTTGGTCTAAATAACCCAAAATGTGATGTCCACATATGTGGATGCCAGGTCCTAATTTATCTTTATATTTCAATTCAATCAGTAGGTCATCAGTTCCTGGCATTGGATAAAATAGTGATGATATCATCTTGTGGACACATCTGCTTTTCCAGACGATTGTACCGCTAATTGGATTTTTTGTACAATTAGTATTATTGTACCCTACCCTAACCCTAACATTAAGGCTACAGTAAGATTTTCCTGTTTCAGTGCAGCTAACCAAATAATGAAAGAACTGCACTGAAACAGACAGTGAAAGCGGACAGTGTATCTTTTATTTGTTTGTTTTTTTTAAAGTACAAAAGTGATACCTTAGGCTGCTTTTTAGTTGTAGTGTCCTTGTGTTCCACTGAGTTCTGTCACTAGTTACCTTACCTAGGTAATGTAAGTCTATTAGCAGGGACCAACTAACCAAGTCATATCACTTTTTGACTCTAAACATGGTTTAAGAACAGATCTCTATGATGCAAATTATCCTATTTATAGTATTTTCACCTTCTAACATTTTTGTGGTATTCGAAACACATTTTTTCTTCACTTCTATCATGGTTCTTTAAAGCTGTTAAAGAGCAGGGCATTTTACTGAATTGATAATCAATGTTGTCTCTTTAGAATCAAACCTGCAGAGCGAAGAAAAAGTATGAGCTTTCAGCTGTTGAGGGCATCTTCTGGTGGATAAGATCAGTCTTTAATCTTAGTCACTTTTTACGTCATCCCAGTTTAGTTGTCTATAAACCTTTGGACATATAGAACTGCTTGGTTTGCCATTGCACAGAGCTTCCACATTTGGGTTTCAGCCCATACTAGGCATTTACAATACTGTGCCATCCCTATTCTTTTTATTTGCATATGTTTCAGTACATTTATTAAAACATTTTAACATGTTAAAGTTAGTAAGACTATGACCACCTTTATTCCTCAAGTGAGTCTAAATTGTCTTAGACCTGGATGACTTTACCTCTCCTGACCTCTTACATACCATATTGACAATTGAACTGAAATTTTTGGATTTGGATTGAGTCTGATGGAGTTACACTCCATGTGACCCAGTTCTTGTGTAATCTGGCACACAAGAGCCCTTTTCCATATTTGATGAAGCTTCCTTTTGATTGATCTCCAGTAGGGCTGCCACGATTTGTCGACTAGTCACGATTACATCGACTATCAAAATCGTCGACCACTAATTAAAAGTCGACGTGTCGTTTGAAGCTTTGCAAGATCCCAAAAGACGCAGGAATAAGTAGCAGGGTTTAAGAGTGTAATAACGGACTGAAACAGGAGATGGCAGCACTGCATGTACAAGGATGCCAGCTGCCGTTAAACCCCGAAGAAGAAGAAGTAGCTGTGTCCCAGAATTCATAGCGCAGCCCAGCTCAGTTTCCAACAATGGCGGCAGCTAGTTAGTTTTAATATTACTCTTATTATTCTTTCTGGGTCACAAAATAAACGTTTAACATATTTTCAGGCGAGAATGTAGCTGTGTAAACCTCAAATATCTGCTCAGTTTATCAAGACACCAAATATTTTCAAAAGCGCTCCGACGTTTTCGGAGACGTCTGTTACCCACTAGCTCGATAGCTAGCCGGGGGCTAGGCTCACTAGCGCCGTGAGAACACCGGACTCCCGGCTAATCGTTTTCAAACCCACCGCGGTCTTTCGCTACTCAGGTTAAACATGATATATAAGTCACTTAGATAACTTAAAAATGTTATTGTTTGGCTTATTTTAGTATTTTATTTGTTCCTGAGTAAATCGGTTTGGCTGAGATTAAAGTTATAGTTTTTACACAGCTGAATAAACATCAAGCAGACAGCTGATTATCAGAAGTGTGAGATGCTCAAGAATTTACTCCGGTGTCCTGTTATATTTTAGATAGCAAGGAGTTTATTAAACTTCACCGAAACAATCTGCAGATTTCATGAAAATTTAATAAACTATCATCTTGTCTTTATTTTTAGTTAGTACAGACCTTAAACACTTAAAGCTGTAAGCTAATGATAGTTATATAAGAGCAGATGCTGCTGGTGCAATAAGCTGTAGTTTTACGTCCAATGGATGATGATCTGATTAGTCGACTAATCGCAAAAATAATCGGTGACTAGTCGACTATCAAAATAATTGTTTGTGGCAGCCTTAATCTCCAGTCAAAGGGCCATCAGGTCCTGTGTCAAACTTCACAGCTTGTTTGAGGCTGGAGCCCAGGCCAACTGTTATAAGGTGACAGCAATAAGTCAGTAAAAAAAAAAGAAGTTGGGCCTAGCTTTGGGGTCAAATAAATTAAGCCAATTTGTAAGTGCCAAATTATATCTGAGGGTCACCAGATTGTGACTACAAAAAGACTTCCGGTCCTACAGAAGTCTATGGGAAAAAGATTTTCTATCTTGACCTTGGTAAACACTTTGGTCGTGAATAAATGGGCTTAGTCATTTGTTCTGGGTGATACTGAATAAAACAAACTGAGTCTATTGTGTAAATTTTGCTTAGACCATGTTTCAAAATGGCAGATTATCTGTAGAACCGAACGGTTTGGCCTAATGCATTGTCAGTCATTAGCCAATGAGCACATGGTTTCATAGTCAGAGTTGCCCTTCCTTGTTTTTTTTGCAGCGGTGGAAACGCTCATCTCAAGGCTACAAATCGGGACTTGAGAAACCAATTAGCTTTACTTGGCCTCTAATGTACAGTATTTTCCGCACTATAAGGCGCACTTAAAATCCTTTAATTTTCTCAAAAATTGACAGTGCGTCTTATAATCCGGTGCACCTTATGTATGAATTCTGGTTGTGCTTTTACAGACCTCGAAACAATTTTATGTGGTACACGGTGCTCAAAAATCTGTCAAAAATATATTTTTTTTAATACTTTTTATTTTTTTTTACTTTTTCCAAGTTTATAGAACATACAAACAAAAATAAAAGAAAAAAGGGAAGGAACACAAAAGGAACATAATGAACAGAATCTCTGGGCCAAAGTTTTTTTTTTCCAATAGTCCAAAATACAGTACTCGGCCTCGCACGGCACATCATACCCAAATACTTTCTTCATTGTTACCGCAATACACTAAGATTTGACATTTTTGCACTTCCAAAACACATGAGAATGGTGGCGTTCCAGTCCCCACATAGTCTCCAGCATTGCTAGGGTGTTTTCAGCTGCTTGCTTTTGATATAAGGAGTAATAAAAAACCTAATTACATTTTTCCAACCATATTCTCTCCATTGTCTAGAGCTAGTGGAATTATGCTGTGAGAGACATGTGAATCCCCAATCATCCTCTGACAATTTAAGATGTAATTCAAATCCCCACTTTTGTTTAATATATAATGTTTCATTCCTATTCAAATTTCGCAGACCATTATATAATTTTGATACAATTTTTGATGGAAGATTTTTATACGCACCTGATATTATTTCTGTTATCTGGCTACCTTCCCTCAGGGCCTTCCTCCTGATTCCTGTATTATAAAAGTGTCTTAATTGGAAACAAGTCTGATTTATCCAGTCCAAACTGTCTGTGTAGTTTGTCGAAATATTTGAATATTTTCCCATCTATTAATGTGCACATTGCCATAATTCCTTTATTAATCCATCCTAAAAATGTACTATCCCATTAGCCACTTAGGAATTTTTGAGAATATGCAGGCCAAACCAACAGTTTGCAGTCTTCTTCAATTCTACACTTCGTCACTATAACCCACCAGAGTTTAATAGTGAATTCAGTAATAGGATTTGCATGTGTAGACTGTATAGTTTCTTCTCCCAATCTTGCTTGTGGTTGACATGATGAACAATAATTTATCTCAATATGTTTCCATTTTGAGGTGTAGTCCGGTGAGCACCAGTATACAATATATCTCAGCTGGGCTGCATATAAGTATTCCTTGAAATTCATGAGGGCGAGTCCAACTAGGAAAAGAAAGAGGAGGAGGGTTTTAAATCTTACTCTTGGCTTTGTCGCTTTCCAAATAAATCTGCTCACTAGTTTATCACTTTTGCCAAATTGTACGTCTGGTATAGAGACTGGAGATCCATGACAAGTGGTGCCCATTTAGTCAAATCTTTTTGAATCGCGTTGCTAATCTTGCCATAATTTGCCTCATATAATGTGCCTAATTCACAGATTAGATAGACACCTAAATATTTGATCTTATTTGAGTCCCATTTTAGTTTATATTTCTTTTGAATTGAATCTCTGGGGGAATAGTTCATACAAAGTACGTGAGTCTTTAAGATGTTTAGTTTATACCCTCATTTTTTACCAAAATGTTTAAATACTTTAATCAATTGAGGAAAGGTCGTGTCAGGATCCTGTAAGTATATTATTATATCATCACCAAAGAGACCTATTCATTGTTCAACTTTAGAAACTGTAACCCCTTTTAAATGATGGTTTTGATTCTAGATCTGCCAGCTTGTTTCGGATCAATTTCTGTGCTTTTAGGCTTTGGAAGAGCGCTTCGGTTAGCTCCAGTGTCATGTCTTCTATGTCTTCTCAGACCTTCATTATCTTGTTTGATTTCTGATTTCAATGATTCGATACCCTTTAGTAGCTCACCATCTGAATTGCTAGCTATGCTAACGGGGCTCATGCTAGCTTGTCCTGTCACGATGCTAGCATTAGGAAGTGGCTTTATCCTGTCCCTTTGGCATTTTGAGTTCCCTTTGCCTTATTCCGCCACCAGCTTTGTCTTGCCCAGTTGAATTGTCTGTTAACGAGTTTCGGTGTTTTTCTATCAAGATTGTGGGGAGCAGCCACCGAATAGGTCCACTGACTACGTCATGACACCAGAAACCGCCCAAAAATTTTTAATATGACTTTGGTAAGCTACGAAGCCACACCACTTAGATTGTCGTAGGATTGCGGCTACCGTAGTCAAGAGCTTCACGGAGTTATCTGGGTCCAAAACTCCTTTCGCTTTAGATCCCAAAGTCAAACAATAGTACGGGATCACTGAGAGTTAAAAACGGTGTAAATCAAGGGTTGACAACCCTGGGCACGCGTGCCATCAGGGTTAACTGATGGCACAACCATAGCTGGACAACTTTAATCGCATGGCTGGATGCTGTAAACGGACCAAACTTCGGTCAGGAGAACAACTGAGAATTCATCCACAATACGAGGTTAGTCATTAATATACTGCAACGACATGGGAATAGAGCAGCTGTGAGAGAATTCAACATTAATGAATCAATGTTATGGAAGTAGAGGAAGCAAGAGGAATGAGTTGAGTAAAGTTTGACTTATCTGTCCGTTTTGTTTCACTTAATGTACCTTATAATCCCGTGCACCTTATGTATGAAAACAGACCCATTCATCGGCAGTGCGCCTTATGGTCCGAAAAATACGGTATACGTCTTGCTTAGGCCCACACAAAGTCCTAAAGATCAGGTCCTATAGCTATTAGTACCAGACTATTCTGTAGAAAGCATTATGTAGTCCAGGCTTATTTGTGCTTCCTAGATATGCCTAAGACAGAATAGAGATTCTGCTCTGTGGAATCACCTCGCAATTTAAATTCAGCAAAGGCCTGGGTGATATCAGGAAAATCTAATATTGTAATATTTTTGCATTTTTTATTGCGATTCAAGATATATATCATGAAGTGTTTAAATAACTTCCAAAAACATGTTATTTTCAACCGTATAGTGAATAAAATTGCACTGGTATACTCATTCAAATCGACCATTCAATATTTTTTTCTACTTTGAATACAATAAATCTGAATGAATTGACATGTTTTATTTCAATCATTTTTTAACCCTCAGTTGTACATAGAAGTTTTTTTCCAAATGACAATACTGTGACAGTAACTCTCTTTCTGTGGTCAACATTAGAGCTTCAACAAACTGAAGATCATAACAACAAGAAAGTACATCAAGCAAGAATTCGCAAGACAAAATAAAACGAGTGAAATTAGAAAGGCTCTTTTTTGTGCTTATAACATATAAAAACAGTAAAATTAAAAATGCAATGACCTCATATTACAGAAACAAAAGTCTAGATAGTGACTAAAAGCGACTGACCAGGTATCACAGCTGGTTTATTCAATATTTTCTTTGGTGTGTAGGGAGATGTTGACATGCAACATTTAAAACATTCTTCATTTTGCAGTTGAAGGATAAATGGACTAGACTGATTCCTATATAGCGCGTTTCAACTCTCCCAGAGTACTAGAAGCGCTCTATACAACATGCCACATTCACCCAATCACACCCATTGGCACAAGCACTTCTAAACAGAGTGCTTACGAACTACATTCACACTCCGATGGATGCATCGGAGAGCAACTTGGGGTTAGTATCTTGCCCAAGGATACTTGACACGCAGACTGGACGAGCCAGGAATCGAACCACTAACCTTCCGATCAGTAGGTGACCTACCTACCTCCTGAACTACAGCCACCCCCAGTGGATGACTTTTCAGCTGGTGGAATAAATTTATGGCAATGCTACCCTTTGTGGCAATAGTTTTGTGGCATGTTTTACGGCAAATTACTGCATTTTGTTTGGCATCCTCCTTGTTAAATCACAAAACAAAACAGTGAATTACATGCACATAGCTTAATATTGCCATGGGAATTTATAGTTTATGGTTGCAAAAGAACCATTTTAACCAAACCAAAACTCGCAATACATAAAGTATATCTAATACATCGCCTACCCCTAGTTCTGCATGCACTTTCCTTTTTAATAAAGCATTCAGTAGAGCATTAGATCTTGAACAGTTTTCTTGGTTATGCTCCTGGTTCATAATCTGTGCTATGTCCTGTTTAATTTTTGTTATCAGGACACTCTTCTGTCTTTCCTTCTCTAATCTGGCCTAAGAAAACAGCTTTCCCTCCCTGAGCCTGGTCAGGCCAGAGGTTTTTACATGTTAAAGGGGAGTTTTTATTCTGCTCCATACTGCAAGTGCTTGCTCATTGGGGATCGCTGAGTTTTAATTTACAATTCTTTAGTTTACTTACCATTAGGGCTGCCACGATTAGTCAACTAGTCACGATTACGTCGACTATTAAAATCGTCGTCGAGTGATTTAATAGTCGACGCGTCGTTTGAAGCTTTGTAAGATCCCAAAAGACGCAGGAATAAGTAGCAGGATTTAAGAGTGTAATAACAGACTGAAACAGAAGATGGCAGCACTGCATGTACAAGGATGTCAGCTGCCGTTAAACCCCGAAGAAGAAGTAGCTGTGTCCCAGAATTCATAGCGCAGCCCAGCGCAGTTTCCAACAATGGCGGCAGCTAGTTAGTTTTAATATTACTCTTATTATTCTTTCTGGGTCACAAAATAAACGTTTAACATATTTTCAGGCGAGAATGTAGCTGTGTAAACCTCAAATATCTGCTCAGTTTATCAAGACACCACATATTTTCAAAAGCGCTCCGACGTTTTCGGAGACGTCTGTTACCCACTAGCTCGATAGCTAGCCGGGGGCTAGGTCACTAGAGCCGTGAGAACACCGGACTCCCGGCAGATCATTTTCAAACCCACCTCCGTCTTTCACTACTCAGGTTAAACATGATATATAAGTCACTTAGATAACTTAAAAATGTTATTGTTTGGCTTTTTTCAGTATTTTATTTGTTCCTGAGTAAATCGGTTTGGCTGAGATTAAAGTTATAGTTTTTACACAGCTGAATAAACATCAAGCAGACAGCTGATCATCAGAAGTGTGAGATGCTCGAGAATTTACTCCGGTGTCCTGTTATATTTTAGATAGCAAGGAGTTTATTAAACTTCACCGAAACAATCTGCAGATTTCATTAAACTTTAATAAGCTACCATCTTGTCTTTATTGTTAGTTAGCACAGACCTTACACACTTAAAGCTGTAAGCTAATGATAGTTATATAAGAGCAGATGCTGCTGGTGCAATAAGCTGTAGTTTTACGTCCAATGGATGATGATCTGATTAGTCGACTAATCGCAAAAATAATCGGTGACTAGTCGACTATCAAAATAATCGTTTGTGGCAGCCCTACTTACCATAAACTATTACAAAAGATGACTACTGGACTTAGTCATTTTCAGCCATATAACAAAGCTGCAGACAGACAAGACACAATATCACACTTCAACCTGTAATTGTGTATAAGCCTGGCAACAGAATAGCAAACGCTGGAAAGCTAAACCTTATCACAAATAAGTCTTACCACGGCTAAGTCCATCAGGGCCTCTGAGTATCCGGCACTCCTCTATCTGTCCATATGGCGAAAACATCAGTCGGATATCATTCTCGTTACACTTCTTGGAGATCATTCCAATAAACAGTTTTCTGTCCTCCACTGCTGTATTAAACATAAGACAACATTAAACTTCTGTGCATTATATCAAGAATTATGGTGCCCTGCAACATTCAACATGCATAAAAGTATGTTTATTAGCAGGTACTTATGCTACAAAATCCTTACCATTGTTTTTCTCACTATCAGCGGGCTTCATCTGGATTGGATGGTGCATCTGAGCAAGACAGTAAATATATATATTATTTCATAAAATACACAACATGTAGAGATACAGAAACGAATATGTTGGTTTCATGTGCCAAGTTATGTAAAATTACTATTGTGTGTAGAGATGTTTGGATCCCATTTGACTACAGATACCTGAAAAGCTCCACAAACAGAAAGACCTTTCTCTTTTACATAGATACATATACATACATAGATAATATCGACAAATGGTATATTTTCCTTTAAGACACATGAAACATCTTCAGTGCAGTTATTTACTAAGATATGACATGGCAACGTCCTATTGTATTGTCCCAACAAGTCCTGAATTACATGTTTGCCTACAGATCAGCTCCTTTTGCATCAGCTGGCTGCTGCGATCTGTACCAAGTTTTCTCTACAGTAGGGGGCACTGTCACTACACTACTTCTTACAGAAGAACAGAAAATAAAATAAATAGACAAGGATTGTTTAAAATAAGGAAGTGCATGTTTATGCTGCATTTTTATGTTAAAAGACCTGCTTTTTTTTAAAACATTTTTTCATTAATTTAAAAACAAAACTGAGTGACACTTTCACTATTGATCAAGCATTGACATTTTTCTTAGATTGTTTTTGAAATACTGCATTTTAAGTGGAAAGTCTTTCTGCAACATCACACGGAGGGGGGATTGTACTCCTCAGAAGGTAAATGGCAGGGTGCAGTTGGTCCATTAGTGGAACCTCGGATAGAGGAGGGACAATGCGGTTTTCGTCTTGGTCGCCGAACACTGGACTAGCTCTTTATCCTCTAAGACAGCGCTCTCCAACCTTTTTTGCTCCACGGACCGGTTTATGCCCGACAATATTTTCATGGACCGGCCTTTAAGGTGTCGCGGATAAATACAACAAAATAAAACTAGTACTGGTACCGAAAAAAAGAAGATTTATTCATAACACACGTGAAAAGACCCAGGAAAACCGAGTTAACGATAAAAACGATAACAAAATAACGCTGAAAACCGATAAAAACCCTGAAAACCATACATTTCACACCTGAGCCTCAACTCTCGCGGCCCAGTACCAAACGACCAGTACCCCGAGGCCCTCCAACAAGCACTAGAGTGGTTCCCAGTGTGAATTTGCGGGAATAAAAATCCGCACCTCAAAATCAAAGGCCATGGTCCTCAGCAGCAAAAGAGTGAAGTGCTCAGTCCGGGTCAGGGATGAGTTGCTGCCTGAAGTGGAGGAGTTTATCTCTGCGTTGTGTTTACAAGTGAGAGGAGAGTGAGAGACAGAGATGGACCTGTGGAAGCGTCTGCATTTATACAGACACTGTCGGTCGTGCCAAAGAGGGAGCCGAGTGTAAAAGGGAAGCTCTCAATTTACCAGCCAGTCTGTGTAACCTACCCTCACCTTCCTACTGTCACGAGCTTTGGGTAAAGCCCAAAAGAGGGAGATTGTGCAAATACAACAGCAGAAATTAGTTTCCTTCAAAGAATGGCTGGGCTCTCCTGTAGAGATAGGGAGACGAGTCATTCGAGAGGGGCTCAGAGTAAAACCACTACTCCTCAGGATCAAAAAAAGACAGTTAAGGTGGTTGGGGCATCTGATTAGCATACCCCCTGAGCATCTCCTGGGTGAGGTGTTTGGGGCATATCCCACTCGGAGGAGGCCCCATAGCTGACCGACCCAAACACTAACCCTATCTTAATATCAAGAAAACTAGTTAAGATTTGACAGTGGATAGCTATTTATGTACTTAGCACTTTTAAACCCTCCTTTTATTCTTTCTTAGCCACTTGTTAGTGAATTTGTAGGTTTAATAGTTTCATAGTTCATTGAAAAAAGTATGATTATAAGGATTGCGATTTAAACTGAACCAATCCTGATAAACAGGGGGAGACAGGTTTTTTTCTTGAACTGATATTTTTTTTATCTTCCTTAGTCAATTTGCCGTTTAATTCCTCTAATCTGCAGTTTTACTTTTCTATTTTTCCAGTATTATTGGGAACATCACACCAACTGCTATGCAAAGAATCTGGAGGGTAAATGCTTAGTGCACCTCTGTGGACAACTGCTGAAAAAAATAGAGACGTCACAGAAATCAATAGCCTTTGATGTCTCAAAATGAGTGATTTAATTTCCTTTCAGACAGACAAAATATGCTTAATCTCTATCCACTTTTCTGATGGATAACCAAAAATTCAAGTTCAAGGTTTCAATGTGAACTGCACATGTGATGAAAGGGCAAATCAAGGACTATCACCTACCCCTGGCAGAATCTTCATGTTGTGCAGAGCATTCTGCGCTTCTAAGGCTGATTTGCGGCTATAGTAAGTTACAAAACAGCAACCTGCCAGAGATTGAAAAAGAAAAATCTTACTCAGGTGATTCACATCATACAAAGATCATGTTTTTCCTTTTTTGCTAATTAAAAACAAAGGACATTAACAAAGCAAACCAAAAATAAAATCAATATATTCAATTTCAGAAGATTAGTAGTATAACTGGTTCAATTAATTCAGTCTTTTTTAAAACATAAAAATGAACTAATATTACTCTAGGTTTAGCAAATGTCAGAATAATAATAGTGTTTTGAGGGGTTATTTTGCCACCTCTAGAAAATGCACAGAATGTCACATAACAGAAGAAGCAAAGGATAAAATAATGCCTTGTATTACAATATGCATTAAAAATAACAAATGACAGTGATGTAAACTTTCTTAAACTCCTGTACCTCACAAAGTACAAGGGAAATAACTACTGTTAACACTTCATAAACATTCATAGGCAAGGTGTTGATAAAATTCAGCTCAATAAAGATAACCCTATTATGCACGCATGCATTTTGCAAATAACAATTCTTAACTCATTAATGTGGTCAGTGAAGAATACATGTAACATAATTTAACCTACATGTTCATGGAGCACTTTATTCTATACATGTTAAGCACTTAATCTAATCAGAGATGGAAGCCAGAGCACCACCACCACCCACCCAGCATGGACAGAACTTTTAAACTCCACAAAGAAAGGCCCCTGTTGGGTTTCCAACCAGGAATCTGAATGCTGCAAGGCGACAGTGCGAACCACTCCACCACTGTGCTGCCCATGAGCCGTTTAGAGCCGCACATAATTTTAAAACAACATGGGTTGTGTTTAATTCATCAACGATTATTATTATTCATTCAAATCAGATCCACAATAACACGTATATGCTGTTGATGAAATGATATCTATTCCGTTTACAAAATTAAAAAGTTTCAAGAAAACAGTGGTTTCTTTTTAAGAATTGTTGAGGACTGATTTATAGACAAACATGTGGGATAATACCACAGCAGTAGCTGTACTTTCCATCTTTTTGTCTAACACACAGTGACCATCCATCCATCCATCCATTCGCTTCCGCTTGTCCTTTTCAGGGTCGCGGGGGGCGCTGGAGCCTATCCCAGCTGTCATAGGGCGAGAGGCGGGGTACACCCTGGACAGGTCGCCAGTCTGTCGCAGGGCTAACACACAGGGACAGACAATCACACAGTGACCAAACACATTATATGTTTCATAAAGTACAGGAACTTCTATATGTTAGTAGTTCTCCAAAAGCCACTCGGACTTGTTCCAATTAAGGACAGATTACAAATGTGTGTTGTAGTCCCCATCACTATAATGGCATAGTCTGGTTATTGAAAAACTTTCACGGGAGCTTCTTAGAAACAGTATAGTAATAGAAGAAATTGGAAAACATCTCAGAACCAAACAGTATACCAGGGTGTCCAAACCTTTTGCAAAGAGGGCCCGATGTGGGGAGGAGAGGTGGGGGCTGACCATTCAGCCTGACATTCTACAAACCATTAACATTAAATGCAAATGAATTATTTAATGACATTTTTATTGCAAATGGCATACTTTTCATTTCTTCACACAGAACGCAAATAAATCTTAACTGTTTTACCAAAATCACTATTGAAAACTTTTGAGAAGGTTAAACATATCCTCCAATAAAAATCCATTCACTGAGATTGTAGAATTCATTCTCCTCAAAAGACTTAACAAATAACTTGCCTGCACTAATGTGAAGGGTGACACTGAGATCTCGATTGCATTAAAAAGGCCAGGTCTGGCTCAGAGACAGTGATTTTGATGCACAAGATGTCATGCTGGTGACTTCTTGCTAAAGTTCATAACCAAGAATGTCTTGCCAAACAAGCTTATCAATTTCTTAGAAATGTTCAAATCTCTTGGAACCTGCTTTCATAAAGCTGGTGGTAAAAGTTGAAAAGCAGGAGCTGTTGGTGCCAAATGTGACACTGAGCGTCACACTGTAGCTTGATGAGCTCCACCTGCAGGTGGTCTGGAGCGTCACCGGGGTTCACGGAGAAAGGAGAGGAAAAACCAGCAAAATCCAGGACACGCTGTTGAAACTCCTCAGCGAGAAATTAGATGTCTGCACGATTCTCCTCATACAGGGAGTGCAGAATTATTAGGCAAATGAGTATTTTGTCCACATCATCCTCTTCATGCATGTTGTCTTACTCCAAGCTGTATAAGCTCGAAAGCCTACTACCAATTAAGCATATTAGGTGATGTGCATCTCTGTAATGAGAAGGGGTGTGGTCTAATGACATCAACACCCTATATCAGGTGTGCATAATTATTAGGCAATGTCCTTTCCTTTGGCAAAATGGGTCAAAAGAAGGACTTGACGGGCTCAGAAAAGTCAAAAATAGTGAGATATCTTGCAGAGGGATGCAGCAGTCTCAAAATTGCAAAGCTTCTGAAGCGTGATCATCGAACAATCAAGCGCTTCATTCAAAATAGTCAACAGGGTCGCAAGAAGCGTGTGGAAAAACCAAGGCGCAAAATAACTGCCCATGAACTGAGAAAAGTCAAGCGTGCAGCTGCCAGGATGCCACTTGCCACCAGTTTGGCCATATTTCAGAGCTGCAACATCACTGGAGTGCCCAAAAGCACAAGGTGTGCAATACTCAGAGACATGGCCAAGGTAAGAAAGGCTGAAAGACGACCACCACTGAACAAGACACACAAGCTGAAACGTCAACACTGGGCCAAGAAATATCTCAAGACTGGTTTTTCTAAGGTTTTATGGACTGATGAAATGAGAGGGAGTCTTGATGGGCCAGATGGATGGGCCCGTGGCTGGATTGGTAAAGGGCAGAGAGCTCCAGTCCCACTCAGACGCCAGCAAGGTGGAGGTGGAGTACTGGTTTGGGCTGGTATCATCAAAGATGAGCTTGTGGGGCCTTTTCGGGTTGAGGATGGAGTCAAGCTCAACTCCCAGTCCTACTGCCAGTTTCTGGAAGACACCTTCTTCAAGCAGTGGTACAGGAAGAAGTCTGCATCCTTCAAGAAAAACATGATTTTCATGCAGGACAATGCTCCATCACACGCGTCCAAGTACTCCACAGCGTGGCTGCAAGAAAGGGTATAAAAGAAGAAAAACTAATGACATGGCCTCCTTGTTCACCTGATCTGGACCCCATTGAGAACCTGTGGTCCATCATCAAATGTGAGATTTACAAGGAGGGAAAACAGTACACCTCTCTGAACAGTGTCTGGGAGGCTGTGGTTGCTGCTGCACGCAATGTTGATGGTGAACAGATCAAAACACTGACAGAATCCATGGATGGCAGGCTTTTGAGTGTCCTTGCAAAGAAAGGTGGCTATATTGGTCGCTGATTTGTTTTTGTTTTGTTTTTGAATGTCAGAAATGTATATTTGTGAATGTGGAGATGTTATATTGGTTTCACTGGTAAAATAAATAATTGAAATGGGTATATATTTGTTTTTTGTTAAGTTGCCTAATAATTATGCACAGTAATAGTCACCTGCACACACAGATATCCCCCTAAAATAGCTAAAACTAAAAACAAACTAAAAACTACTTCCAAAAACATTCAGCTTTGATATTAATGAGTTTTTTGGGTTCATTGAGAACATGGTTGTTGTTCAATAATAACATTATTCCTCAAAGATACAACTTGCCTAATAATTCTGCACTCCCTGTATGCACACTGATATTCGCCTGTGGAAAACTGGTGATTTTTATTTCCTATAGCAATGCGAAATTTGCAGTATTGGGCTGCATTTGTGACACAGTCAAGTTAGCTATCATTTGTGAGCCGCAGTGAGGCCAGCCGCCTCCTGTCCACCATATAAATTTTCTTGCACTTTTACAACTGCACCGATTCTCCTTCATTGCTGATCGCAAATGTAAGCTTGCGCAGACATAAAAACAAACATTGCACTGAAAGAGCCTGATTGCATCATATTCAAAAATTCATTAAAAGTCACCCTTAACAGTTGATGTGAAACTTTCAGATTTTTTCTCTCCTCTGGGCCAAGTTTCATCTCAAACTGCTTTCAGGTTTCACGTGTGCTCAAATTTAAAAACTTCAAAGGAATGTGATAACGTCCTGTTAGAAATGTTAGAAAATTATAACATCACATACAAATTTTATTAAAATTCATCTGTGACTGTAAACTAGGGATGGACTGATCCGATATTACGTATCGGTCCACTACTGACCTAAATTACTGGATCGGATATCGGAGAGAAATTCAAAATTTAATCCGATCCATTAAATATCACAAAAGCACCTCACAAAACTTGTCACAACATGACTTAACTTCGTTCATACCCTTACCACGTCGGAGCAGTGTGCGTCACGTGATAGAGCGGCTGCGCGAGACCTCTCGGCGGTCTGGTTGAAGCCTCACTACCAACCCGGCATTTCATCTCCGAGAAAGTGATCCCACAGAGAAGTAAAGCAAGTGTGTAAGTTCATCCCTGAGTGTTTGTAAAGCATTCCTGCATTAAGCTTAACAACCGATATCTCTCTCTCCTGCTGCTACTTCAATCATGAAACTGATCAATGATCAGCTGATCGGCTTTTCTCTTGTTTGTTTTTGGCCCACTTTGCACCAGAAAGAGGAAACCAGCAGCTGAACAACAGCAGCACGTTTAAGCTTGATCAGCTGTTGTTAGAATGTATTCGAGGATCTTTTTCTACAGCTGACGCTGGTAACTGTGCAGGGGCGGAGCTAGCAAAGTTTAGCCAGGGGGGCCGATAGGGCATTAACAGGGAAAAGGGGGCACAAAGACATACTTTTCTTTCTTATTCTCATTTAAAATGTTGAGCTTTTAATAAATAATTATCTGAATCTTACACCCAAAGTTTTAATCTTATGTAAAATGAATAGAAGTCCATTACTGTATATAGTAACTGTTAAGTCTAATATACCCTAGTAAGCTATAGTACTTTTTCCTTTGGGAAGGTACCATCTGTGCAGTCTGCAGTTCTGTTGAAGAAAGATGTTGAATCTATTTAATTA